TTTATAAATTGATCTCCATCTTCATACAATTAAAATAATCTTAAAATTTCCTTAATAGTAGAAAATGAATTTATGAAATATGATTACTTCAATTAAAAATTTCTCATATGTTAACAATTGAATAAGAAAATAAGGAAAGAAAAGAAATTAATCAATAATTACTTTCAAAAATCACTCTAGAATAAAGTAAAACAATAATTTTGATAAAAACTTAGATTAGTAATGACTGTCTTCAATAATGTCATTTAGGGTATTTCAAAGGATTGTTTCAATAGTAAATTAAAATAAGTGATTGAATTTTAAAGTTTGAATTAAAAAAAATTCTCAGAAATCAAAATAATAGGCACTCATAATATATTCATCCAGACTCAACTGAAGAAACAAAAAATATTAATTAATAATTAATTTTTCTTCGCAGTTAAACAATCCTTAAATTATCATTTTGCTGATAAAAGAGCTAACATATTTATAAAAATTTGCAAAACTAATTGAAGCATTAATTTTTCATGCGTTAATCTGAATTAGACTAAGAATTTTACAGATTAGGTACTGTCCTTTAGGTTGATATTCAAAGGGAAAATAGAAATTCTATGGCTATGCTCGAATTGAGAAAAGGAAGATACTGATAATTAGATAATACAAAATTTCCAAAAAATTAAAGAGAATGGAAAGGATGGAAATGTAATGATTAATATTTATTGTCCAAAAAACCCATGAGAAAGGAATTTTAAACACAAATTCGAGTTCATAAGATTTATTACCCAATAATCATCTGTATATGATTGATCTATCATAAAAATATTGTAATATTCAATTGAAATTTTCCAAAAAATCTATTCTTTTGGATATGAATTTTATTATATAAAACCCTTTTAGCATATGGCTTGTTTGTGTATGTCTATAGAAATCATTTTTGATGATAATTTGAATTACTTTATAATAATGCTGAATATTTCTAGACTTTAGATATATTCAAAAAAACAAAAAAAAAAGAATTGAAGATTTAATGGATAATAATATTTGGTAGTTATCACCATTATTGTTTACAAAAAATGAATCTGTAAGATTAAATTATTTATTAATAGAAAACATCAAGCTTAAATAGAATTTGCCCTAATCACAAGAAAGAAATTATTTTGATTGATATGGACTCTTAAAATAAGAAAATTGAAGATAGGTTTGCATGTGTTGACTGCATTCCTGAGAACCCATAAATTAAATACTGTTCAATCGAAACTATTAATAAATAAAGGAGAGATTACAATTCAGGATCATATAAAATGTTATCAGAGTATCAAAAGAAAAGCAAATATAAAAAAACTAATTAATTCAAACTAATTGCTTCGATTAGAAAAAATTGCAATAAAAAGTTTAATGAAATCAGTGAAAAATTTATATTAGAATAGTTTTAATCATTTGATAAAAGCAAAGATACCAAATAAATAAAAAATGTAACAATTTAGGCTTTAAAAGACGAATAATTGTTAAAAGATTTAAAATAATTAATTAATTAATTGATAAAAAAAAATAACTTAAAACTAATCATTAATTGATTTAAAAAATCAAGATTCAATATTAAAATCTGAAAAGTAATATTAATAAGATGTACAATAATCATTAAATATTCTCAAAGAATTATCAAATATTAATTTATAAATCTCTTTAAGTTGAAAAAATTAAATGTTATTGAATTCATTTAATATTTTCTAAATCCACTTTACAAAATGATGAAAATTATCAAGACTTGATTCAAATTATTAATAATGTGGAAGAATTGATTAATTAGGCTAAAGCTTATTAACGCTAATCAAATCTATTTGAATAGATTGTAACTTTATATTAATAGCAAACTAATAAGATAGATTAGATTTAATAAAACACTTAAAATTGGACGAAAGATTAAATTATTAAATCAGGATCAATAAATGCTTCATTTTAAAATCTATCTCAAATCTTTAATGATTATACTATCACTATAGATAATAAGAGTAAATAACAAAATTTTGTAATATTTAATAATTTGAGATAGATTTATTCAATGTAACAAGTTAGGAATAATAATTTGGAAGTTGAAGGTAATTTATATAAATGAAAAATAGATGCAAACCTCTTAATTCAAATTTCAATGTCTTCAGATTAAAAATAATAGGAAAAATTTTAGAAATATATAAAAGACTGAATCAAAAGTAATCAGAAATATAAATAATTCAAAGACAAATTGATTACTTTAATTAAGTATATTCTAAAACAAACTAAATATAGATTTAATAATATTCAAAATTGTTATTATTTTCCAATACTTACGAGCATGATGGTTGTTAAGTAAGTGAAGGTGGAAAAGCTGTTAAATATGGAGGAGGTTATTATAGTTGTCTTTGCAATTAAGCAATTCTAAAGATTGGAAAAATACAATTTTCATTCTAAGAGCTTAAAATTTCTTCTTATGCTTTAGTAGTAGTGGATTTAAAGATCTTATCAAAAAAAATAATTATTTCGGTTATGGAAATAATGAGTATTAAATTAATTAAATCGTATTAGACAGTATTTAATAAATAGTGATATATATACTTGTTCTCATCATTTAAACGAAATAAATAATAAAAAATTGTCAAAATTCTCATTTGCTACTAATGATATTATAATAAATAGAAGTAAGTATTGAATTAAAATATATTAAATGGACAAATAGAATAATGCATAATAAAGTGTTGTAACCATCAAATCTATATTTAGTAGTTGGAATTAAATTCATCCATATCAAAGTATTATATCCTTGTGGATGTAGATAAAATTCTAAGGTAAGAATATTGAATAATATTCCCATTTGACTTCGGAGATATGATATTAAGTTTTAAATAATACAAAATAATGTTAAAACAAAAATTTATTTTCATATATTCATTAAGCATTTAATAAATTTCTCCACTAGAAATGATTATGCGATATATCAAATAATAATGAGTGATATCTCATCAGG